TTTAAACACCTGAGTGTTGGTTGACACATTCCACCCTGTATTACTCATGAGGTTAAGCAATGAATACAAACATGGCCTCCAAAATCCTTGGAGGATTACCTTCATGCGCTTTCAATAATCAAGCACCCCAATACACAAGGCATAGTACCTGTGCTTACATACTAACATGAGTACAAAAGAAGCCTGGGCTCCTGAAAAAGTCCTCAGAAAGAATCAAGCCGCCACCAACTTGCTAAAATGCTGGACTACATTACTTGGCACACCGGGTCTAGCCCAAGGAGCCATGATCAGGAGCCACTGGTCGACGGCTTAGTTTGCAAGCACCCAAGCTTTTAAAGATGGCTAGGAATTTTACCTGTGAACATTATCAACATTTTTTACCAGACAACTACAATTACATACAAGGACCAGTAATTATGTAACAGCAACATTGTGTTCTTCAACCATTGCTCCTCTTGTCAGATCCTCTCTCACCAAGTGAACATGAGGAGATGGTGGAGGAGGGTCTGTGCCATCACGATTACAACTTTGAACAAAGGGAAGCCATGCAACAAAAGGTGTTTTATTGTCACTTTTGGAGTTGATTTCATGTGTATTAGTGCTGAACTTCTCCATCAGGGCAGGGCACACTACTCTTCCTTCCTACCAGGGAAGGTAAGCCTTTCTGTCCCCTTGTAAGAATTTGCTATAATGAGTCCAGCTGTTAAACAGAAGCAGCAAATGAAGTCTTTTGGAGAATTTCATTATTCTTCACAACAGCGAATACCCTCTGCAAGGCTAGCATGGCTGCTTGGTCTGAAATTGGTTCCATTTTATGAAGCACCTGTCTCTGAAAGAACACATTGGGACATGCCCATGATATGGGCAAAGAGGTACCCAGCGTGCTGCACTCTCTCCAGCATCTGGGTTGGTGTCTCTGTCGCAGAGGAACAAAGTGCCACGGGCAGAGGGCTTTAAGGCAAGGCCCCCGAGCATTAGCTGGCACAGGTTTCCATGGGAGACCCACTCCATAACCCCTTCCACATGGCTTCACTCATGGCGCTTGCCAAACCCAAATCCTTTTCCCAGACTTCTTCAGAACCATAAGCCTTACTATACAGTGCATTAATCAGAAGCGCATGTGTTTTGGAGGCCATTCCTTTTTTATTTTCTGCATCAAGTGCTATCAGCTGCTCCACTGAAGCAAGTGGGGCAGAAATCTGTTCTCTGATCAGAGAGAGGGAGGAGAAAAACTGTACACGTTGCAGCTGAAGCCACGAGGATCTCCACTCTGCCTCCCACAATTATGTCCAGAGGTGAAGGAGGAGAAATCATGAAGGTCAGCACATTTTGGCCAGCCTGACCTCACAACAGACACTCATGTCTTCCACTGTGTCTTGACTATGGCTATGCTCTCAACATGGAGTTAAACTTGAAGATTGTCCAGAAGTTCCATATAGTGTAGTAAGATGCAGCAGCTGAACTGAGTATTATGGTGACAAGATAATATGACTTCAATACCAGAGGGCCCGCAATGGTTGCCAGATGTTCTACAGTCCCAATTCAAGATGTTTGTTTGTGTTTTTTAAAATAAATTTATTAAACAAACATCTGACATAAACAACATAAACCTAACACCACAATAAAATACAATTACATAATGCATCAGTGCCACCATCACCCTCAGGGCTAGCATTAATAATATTTTTAACTTTCATTCAGTCCATTTTCTCTCCAAAACTTCATTGTTTCTTCTCTTGATGTACAGTATACCCCTTTCTTCTCCGAAATACATACAGTATTCGAAGAATACACTCCACATTTTCTTAAAATCATTATTTTTTGATGGGCCTTATTTTCATATCACATGTCAGTTTATCTTTAATTGCCATATCCCATAGTTCTCTGTACCATTCCTCTAAATTGAGTTGCTTACCATTTTCCCAGTTTCTTGCAAAAATTAACAAGGTGTTGGTTTCAACCCATAAAGCGCTAAAAGGTTTGGGGCTTGACTCTCAGAGAGTTTTTTCACGGGCCCTTGAGATGTTAAGACTCTCAAGAGGGGCTCTCCTGAGAATGCCAGCACCTCTGAAGACCTGGCTGACAGACATACGGGGTTGCCTTTCTCTTCTGCTCCCCCTAGACTAGGCCCCTCAAAGTCACAGTTCTGCTCATGCTGCTTATAGGAAGTGGTCCTATAAGGACAACATGCTGCTCTCCCCTTGCGAGACCAGTCTTTCAGACTGATCTTGCAAGCTGTTTGATGTTCATTGTGAGGATTTTAATTATGGCAATGATTTTGATGGTTTTATTCCTCAATCTGTTTTCTATTTGCTTATTTCTTATTGCATATTTGAAGATGTTTTCCAACCATCTAGAATGCCTCTTTTTGTGTTTTAACAGAAAAATGGGATAAAAATGTAATACAATACGGTAGTAGAGTACTGCAATTAAATCCTCATTATCACTTCATTTTTCACCGGGGAGGGGGAGCCTGAATGGGATCAGCCATGTCAGATCCCTTGTGAATGGATGTACGTGGAGAAAGCAACTTTCTAGGGGTGTGAATCAGGTCAGCAGTTCTGTATAATGTTTGTGCTGCTGCTGCTGTAATTGCAATGCATGCATTTCTGTTCTAGCGGACTGGACTTTTTAACCTTTCCTTGTTTTGTGTTGCCACAGTTGTGTAGCCCCAGCACCTTGTTTTGCTCACTCCAAAGCTTTCTAGGTTGCCTCCCACGTCACCTGCAGTCCATCGGAGCATCCTGAACCTTCACTATACCTTTGCTCGGGAGGGTGTGTGAGTTAGAAAGGAGCCTCTTAGTGCCTCCCCCAACACAAATCTGGCCAGTCCATCTTCTGCTCTGCCATGTGGGGAGAGCAGCATGTGGTCCTCCTGAAAGATCTATGACTACTAAATAGGTATGAGCCTCCTTTGCTGCTAGTAAGACACAGAAACATAAAAGATAAAAAAAAAAATGAGAAACCCAGCTCCACACCTGGCAGGACAGACAGCCTGAAGGGTCCACAGGAGAACCCTCCCAATGAAGCCCCTTGTTTCCTTTTGAAATTTCATGGCTGCTGCTGCAGCCCCTTTCCCAGTTTTCCCCCCCCCCCCGCGGTCTCTGCTAAAAGGTGTCCTCCTCTGACCACCGGAAGTACTTGTTGAAAAATCAAGCTGTCTCCCACGTCCTTCTCACACCCTATTCCTTCTGCCAGGGGGGCTCTGCCACCCTCTGAGGGGAATGCATTCGGCCCTGGCATTGATGCCACTCAGCGTCGCAACATCCACCTAAATCAGCAACCACTGCCCTCTGTCCCTATGAGAAACAAACGACACACAGCAACACAACCGGGGCTCACGGTATCATCAGCTCTGGGGGAATACAGAGCTCTCTTAAATGAGTCCGGCAGCGTTTGTGCTTCAGTTGTGAAGTTCAGAGTGTCCAAGGTCCCCTCTCCTGTTGCGTATGCATTGGTCCTTTTAAATCACATCTGTATCATAAAAGGCTGCTCGTAAGATGTGACGCCCCTCCCCATGTCACCCGTGCTGGCAATTCCACAGAGATTTTCATTTAGGACCTGCAGATATTTTTAGATTCTAATGAACCCCTCATAGTCCCTCCCGTAACTGAAGAATGATGAACCAAGGAATGATTTATTACTTAAAAGCAAGTTGCTGTTTTTTTAATAACAGACTTAACAAATTTGTTCCACCTGCTCAGTTATGCACCCCATGGCTTTCTTGTGGTTTCACTGAAGTTTTTCAACCCAACCTCAAAGAGTCTGAACTCAGCACTAAAAACAAACTTTGCATCATTCCTGCCACTCATAATGAGAACCAGGGAACCTCACTGCTTCAAATTACAGCAAGGTTGCTCAACTAAGTGGATGCAGGCAGTGAGATGATGAAGGTTAATGAGTGTGAGCAAACGACATGTGCTTTCAGAATGCACACTCCCAGGATCAGCCTCTTTGTACCACTCCAGAAAGGTGGGAAGTAGCCCCTGCCTTCAGTGACAGGAGATGCCAGGAGAAGGGCGAAGCTCTGCCCTGGCCAGCAAGGCAATACCCATATTAAGACGTGGGCGATAGCTACAGGAGCCCCACAGCTGCCGAGGGCTGCCCCCAGCTGAGAAAGGACAGGCAGCTTCAAGACACAAGCAAGCAGTGACCTTCTTGAGGGCCCACCTGGCAGCTAGCCACGCAGGGGCCAGGATTCAATCACATGGGCCAGGACTGCTATGGAAGCAGATGGGGCTACAAGGAAGGGAAGAAGCCACAGTCAAGAGCACGCAGGAACTACATCTATCTCCCTGGAACGGCCTCCGGCAGAAGGGTTAGCAAGATGTCCTTTGTATGATGCACACAAGCACACGCTCAAGCACACTTCCAAGAAGGTAGACCAACACAACCACTTGGATGTTGATGGGAGCACCTAGGAGATGCCACTGGCCCTGACGGCACAAAGGGGGGGGCAACTATGACCTGCACCGCGGGGATCTAGAAGGAGGAAGAGTCCCAAGGCGGCTTTCATTATTCCTTTGGGAACAGGGGGGAGGGGAAGAAGAGAGAGAGAGAGAGAGAGATCATTTTGGCACCTTGACCTGTCATGACTGAAAAGATGAAGCAGAGGCATCTGTTACCACTGCTGACTTATACTTTGTAAATACCACTTTTTAATGTTGTCTGTTATTACTTCACTTTAAGCCTCAAAAATGAGAGGCTGAAAGACAGAAGACACTGGAGGCTATATGTAGTAACCCAAGTAAATCAAATTGTCAAGCATAATTAATTTATTGAAGTCAGTGCCTTCATCACCCCTCCCTTGCTGCCAATTTTCTTGGTGAAATGAGAACACAACTCAGCCTTTGACATCAACACACAGCCAGGTAGGAATATTAAGAACATGCCGGATCAGACATGAGTTCAGGGCAGCAGAAAGAGGCCAGGGCTGTGGTCAGGAGGGCCTCTCTGGATTGGGATGGAAAAGAGGGAACAGAACTGCCCATTCATCACACCGTCCTGAGACCCTCTCCTGCCAGTTCGATGCTGGCATGATCCACTGCAGTCAACCGCAAAGGGTCAAACAAGAATTCCCAGCCCAGCTGGTGGATCTCGTTCTTCAGGAAAGAGCCTCTGTGGCCCAGAAGACTCTCTTGGTACCACATGGCACTGAAAACCATACCAAGGTCCATCCACAGGAACTGTCCACGTCCTGCTCTAGCCAATCACCTATGGCAGCCAAAGCTATCTTCCTCTTATAAGCAAATTCAATCTGATCTCGATAAACCACACCACACACAAAACTCTAGAGCTGGGACATCACAACGACCACCATACAGGAAGGAGTTCTGTCCTGCCAGCTCTGCGACCAAGCACATCCTATGGCATCCTGCAGAGTTAGCCCTTCCATGCTGTTTGGTCAGACAACCTGGTTTCAGTTTTGGATAAAGTGCCATCAAAGCCACACTAGATAAACGTATATTTTTTAATGGAATGTAGGGGGGAAACCTACCCCTATCACTTGGATTAGACACAGGTTCAACCTGGAGATTTTTAAAAATAGCCTGGCCTCTCTGGAAATAACAGCAGCTGGCAAGAACTCAGAAGAACCCTTTGAGCTTAAGACTGCGCTGATTCCAACATTTATTTCCTGGATCATTTCCACAAAGCCCAAAGGCGGAAAAGGAACGCCAAGAACCATATGAACTTCCATACATTCAGTCAATTGCTGCACTCCTTCTCCAAAACATGGCCTGCTGGAGGAACGGCACTGCATTCTGCACAGAAATGTCCGAATCACGCCCACCTTGTATGGCAGATCCAGAGAGTTCAGCTGCTGCTCCTTGTCAAGAAAGCAACACAGCAAAAGTTTTAGTGGGTTGTTTCAAGCCACCAACAGCAGCAGAAAAAGGGACCAATTATTTTCAGATTTGTGTTGTCAAACTGGAACTGATTGGATAATGACATTCTGACCCTCTTACTTGCTACTCTGGGAGTAGTTATATTACTACTTCTGGGTATCAACAGGCTGTTCATATTTAACTGGTTCTGCATAACTATCTCCATGGAGAACTTATTTTACATGGAAATGATGTGTCACAAATATGTACAGTAAACAGTTTTGTTGAAATGTAAATACTTGTGGAAACAAAAGATGTTTATTCTCATCAGAGAAGGGTCAACAGATACCACACAACAAGCCAAAAACATGCTGAACAACAAACCCATTAAATCAGATACCATATTGGGTGTCATCAAGTGTATGTACAGTTTTATTTCTGTTACATCTTAGTTTGTTTCATGATATTATTTTGTAAACACCCTCCGCCCCCTGGAATGTTTTGTCATAGAAAAGTAGAAAATGAGCAACCACATGGAGTTAAGAACACACAGCAGCATAGAAAGAAAAGTCAAACAACAACATAAATATACTTTTGGCCTTTGACTCTTGGGAAGAGCTCTCACCAAGAAGAGGGAAACATGAATATACTCAGAGAAACAGCCTCTGCCTCTAGCTGGAAGGATGATTGGCATCCAGGCCAGGCTTTGCCTACCCCAGTCCTGCCAGAATGGCAGAGTACAAATTAAGTCATGCATTTAGCATTCCCCTGCAGACACCCAGCGTTTCACAAAAAAACAGACCCACAGAATACTCTGAGGTCTCAAGGGAAACACCCCTGCCTGTCCCAGGTGCTCATTTCCCATCCTCCCACCTGGATTTAGCCAAAGACAGAAAGCATGCTAAGATTTTAGGCTGGGAGGATCTCTTTCGTCTTTATCAGAATTTCAGTATTTAGTAGGACCACTGTGGGCAGGGGGAACAGCTACCTGCCTCAACTGGATACTGAGGTCATCCACATGTAAAAATACAGACTGCTACCTGCATTAGGATGCACTGAGGTTGTTTTTTTTTAAAGTCCAGTTCAGAAAAGAAACCTGTGCATTGTTAGGTTTAGGGTGCAACCAAATACTTATCAGGTCCATGTTGACCCTCAGAGGATTGAAGATTAGGGCTGAGTTAAAACAAACTGGATTGTCTTCCAGATGACCAGATCAGGGCCCTGAAAAGAGGTGGTACTGGTGATGTTGATGAGCAGGGATTGCTGGACATCATCTGTCCTGGCCCCACATTTTATGGGCCTTGTGACACTGGAGGGCTTTCGTCCTGATGTTTCTCGGGTATGCTTTTGACAGTTTATGGATTATGTTGCCAAGTATAATCTCAATTAAAATTGATAATAAGTCAGTAAACCGGCAAAGCCCCTCAGGATCTTTTCCAAGCCTTTTATGGCCTTTAAAAAGTAATCAATGGGAAAAGATTCCCCTCTCTTATATGTTGTGTGAAGTCTGGTCACCTAGACCTTTGCAGTCAACTTCTGTTTTGTGGGATATTTTCTCGAGAGTTGACCAAAGAGGGTCAGTGGCTTTCAGGAATCAACAGGACTTTAAGAGCCTCCCAACATGTTGCCTGTTTCAAGCCTGGGTGTCTTTGTTGGGAAGGCTGGAGGCCTTGCACACACACAGAGGCACATCCACCCACACAGTGCCAGCTTCCCAAAACAGCGGGGTCCAACCTGCAGGTAACCTTTGCAGGTACCAGGGCACACGGCAGCTGGTAGAAACAGTCTTTATCCAAACTTGATGAAACACACAGTGACTTAGTATAAAGTTCTGTTTGCCACCCTGTGATAAAGACCAGAAGACAGCATGGTGGCATCAAGTCCCTCCCCTACGCTGGGTGTTGTGTGTAGGTGTGTGTGTGTGTGTGTGTGTGTGAGAGAGAGAGAGAGAGAGAGAGAGAGCACACACACTACACCTTCCACATCATAAAAACCCAGTGAGGCCTCAGAATGGCTAAAACACATGGAATCAGGCCCATCCTGCCCCTAATTCCCACACTACATGCCTGGCTGTGAGATGGATGATGCCTACATCCATTCTGAAATAACATCCCCCTTCCCTTGCAAGGCAGAGCAGACAGGCCTTCCTTCCTCTCCCAGCCCGAGGAAACAGATGCGCACGAAGGCCACACCAGCCTCTCAGTCAGGACAGAAAAGAGAGACACTCGGCAAGAAGGCTGAGGTTGGAACGCTCTGTCAGCCACTGGGCAGAGACCAGTTCACCTGGAGGGAAGCCTCCTGCGAAGGTCCACAGAGGAGTCACGCACCTCCTTGGGCGCGCCTCTTTCGCGTGGCACCGTGGCAAGGGTGCCGCATGAAAACCAGCTCTGGTGCAATCCAAGGCCATCGCCATCACACTCCAGGATTGCTGCTGCTGCTGCTGCTGCCGCCCTTTGGCTTGCCTTTGGAACCCTTCTCAGGTACAGGCCTGGCCAAGGCAGACCTGGCTGCCGGAGACACGCCACCTGGGCCGGCCAGCCAAGCGGTTCTCAGAGGCTTGACTTGCTGCCCTCAGACCCTGCTGTGGCGGCTGCTGCTGCTGCTCTGAGCCTGCTAACTAAGTCCCAGACCCCCTCCCTCTCCTGCACCCGATGGCCCATTTCGCCAAGGGTGTGTTTCCAGGGAAGCAAACAGACTTTCCTCTTCCTTCTGTGCCAGAGCTCCTGGCAGAAAGTCAGAGGCCTGAGAAAGCCGGCCAACTATGTGAAGCATGTGCACCGTCCTGGGATTCTCCCGACCATCAACAGCCCCTGCGTGGCAGCAACATCTGCCAGCTGAAGGGCTAAACTTGATAACAGCCCACTGTGGGCTAAGGACAGCCTCACTTGGCCCAAGACACAAGGGGCTCCTGGCTGGTCAGGACACGGCTTAAAAGGAGCCCAAGCAGCAGGGACTCCAGCAGCCCAGAAACGGTCCGGGTGAGCGGGGGGGGGGCAGGTTCAGCTCCCTCTCTGCCCCACAGGCTCTCCGGACATTTCAAGGGCCAGGCAGACCAGAAAGAGGGCCCAGCTTAGTTCCCTCATGGGACCACAGTGGACACCACAGAGTGATCATCAGCAAGGATGCTAATTGGCACTCCCTGGCCCATGGCTGCAATCTACGGCACAGCTAAGTTAAGCCCTTCTTGTACAAGGTGAAGGCAAGCTCGTTTTCAGGTATACTGGCTTCTGAGGCATCATCAGGGAACTGGCAGATGAGTTGCAGCCCCAACAGCAAATTGAGCCACATCTCAGAAAGAAAATCTGGCAGGAATGGAGGATTCTTGCTGTGCTCCTCGAAGGGAGAGCACAGGGAACCTCACGAAGATGCTTCCTTTAGTCGAATCCAGGCTTGGAAAGGGGCAAGAGTGGCACAAGGCATCCTGCTAGGAAGCTAGCTAGGCAGGCTCTAGCAGGAGGGCAGCCTTGGGGTGACACTCCAGAAACAAAAGCCCTCCAGCCCCTGAGAGAAAGCACCAGGAGACTGGAGGCTCCTGATCCCATCCCAAGATGGCAAGGCAGCCGCCCTCCCCCCAC